TTTTTCTTAAGGTTATAATTGTGTTGATTTAGCTGATTCTATTCTCTATCTCTGTGAACTGCTGTAAGATATTAACATCAGTTGTGTTTGACTTATTTGTGTTTATTACCTTATTTGTACTTATTATTTTTCATCGGATTCATCATTATTATTTTATTTGTTCTTCTTATTTTACTGATTTTTGTATTGAACTTTTTATGGAATGATTCTTTGGACAAGTTAACAGGATTGAGATTACGATCCACAATAAATATATGATTGCAGCACCTGATGCTGTGTTTGCCTTATCGTGTTGATTCTGACCTTTTATATCTGATCGTAATGTTCTTTACTTTACTTATTATTTTTCTTGTTTTGATGCTTATCATTTTTGTCTTGAGTTAACTGATTTGTAACCAATTGGCCCTTATGATTACTGAGATGATCACCTTTCCTGGTTTACCCCTTTTTTATTACTCAATTTGCGATTGATGTAGCTTTCATAGTTAGTGGTGACAAGTTATGGAAGTGGATAATATTCCTTATTACTTTACTTATTTTGTTTTCCTCATTTGATTTTGTTTTGTTTTGTTGCTTCCCTTTGTTTGGTTATCCTATTTGGATAAACAGGAGGGAATGTTATGGAAAAATTATGTTTATTAATTCTTGATCATGGACTCAACCAACTGAATGTAAATGTATTGCTCTATGCCTCTGCATGCTCACTCATTCAGACACACCCACACAAGCCACACACACACACACACACACATTCTCGACTTCCCGCACACACACACAATCTCTCCCTCTCTATAAATAAACTCCGTGACCGGATGTTCGGTGCATTTTGCCTCGTGCATCTGCCACAGTTATAACTGTTTGACTTGTTGTTCATTGCCTCCTTTTCTCTCCGACGATAGGAAATGGGTTATTGATAAACATATTGGTAAAATCCATGACATCTCCTGTGCACAGTCTCAAAATCTGCTCAACAGAGTTGAGTGGTGGGGTGGGCTGTGGGGAGTATTTCATTAATATCTCAGTCCTGCACTAACATGTCTTTACTCTCCTTTTGCAATTTTTCCCCATTATTGTTGTTATCCCTCTTGTGCCCCCTACCCCACCCCTCCCTTTGTCTTTTCTGTTTTTTGTTGTTAATCTTTTGTCTCCTTCCTTGTCCCCTCTGGTGCATTAGGGGGTGGGTGCGACCTATCATGCCACACAAACAGTAAAGTCAACTTTGCAACAGGAGGAGTAGGTCCCACATCCCTCCTGGTATACAGTAAAATTGCTCTGCCATTGTATTGTACCCAGACCAAACATTTTGTCCAGTTTTAATCAAAAGCACAAGAATAATCAGTTGGTATTCCAGCAGAGCCTGGAAGAAAAAGTACGAGTAATGTCTTTGGAGACGAAACAAAAAAAGGGTCTACAAAATAACGGACCAATAGTGACCCTGCTTTATCACTACTAGACTTGTAATAAGATATTTTTTTATCTTACAGTGCGGATCTTCTTAATTAGTAGTATAAATTAGCATAATGAGCTTTGAAAGAAAATCGTCTGGACTTCTTTGAGTTGCTTGAAGACGTTTCACCTCTCATCCGAGATGCTTCTTCAGTTCTAAGGTCAAATGGTGGAGAGTCCCAGATTTAAACCCAGTGGGAGTTTCCCCCCGAGGAGTATAATTAGTATAATTAGCATTAGCTGGCTTCTATTAGCATTCTCTTGTTGTTAGCGTTAGCACTCTGCAGCAGGGTATTAATGACTATTGTAATTCTGCTTTCAACCAGTAGGAGGGATAGGCAGAAAACTCATTTAGGGTTGCTTTCTCATCATAAAAGGCTATTCATGTTATTTTCTTACTATATAAACACAGCCTTTGTATCTTTATCTGTTACAATACGCAAAGGTAGAAGAATAGAAGGGCCATCTGGTTTTCTGGTAAAGACAAGAAATCTCATTCACCACACACCAGGAAGTGCACCTCTCAAAGAAAAGGTCATTTACAGGAAAACTGCTGCAACATCTTCTCTTTGTGATATCACCTGTCCCCAGCCACTATTCACCAATACATACAGCCTTCCTTTGTTAAATAATATGGGGTGTAGAGTTCACATTTCTGAGCAAGCACTTCCCTGTGAATCAGGGTATTCCATTTTACAGGCAAGGACGATCAAACAGGAGTTGTGTCAGTAAGATAATAACGTTTCTTGTAACATGTCTTCAACCGCATCTCACAATACATCTATTTCTGGTAAAAGTTTGGATCATTTTCAAATTTTCTCTTGTGTGTCTGGAAATGTTTCTGACCAACTTAAACGAGACATTTGAACTGTGCAAATGCTGTGCGTAGAGTTTGCTCGCTCAGCGTTTAAATTATAACCATTTGGACGTTCAAATTAGAAAAAGCAATTTTCTTTATTCAGTTTAATGTGCAAAGAGTAAGGGAGTAAAAAATGAGCAAAGGCCTCTCTTTAAAAATCAAGTAACAGAAAATGGTAATTATTAACTTTACCATTATCAGTATTTGTGCTTGCCCTTCCCACAAGCATTAAAATGAAGCTTTATTTAGTTTTCTAGGTGGAAGTGTGTGTGTGTGTGTGTGTGTGTGCGCGCGCGTGTGTGTGTGCGCGCGTGTGTGTGTGTCCACGTGTGTGTGTGTGTGTGTGTGTGTGTGTGTGTGTGTGTGTGCGTGTGTGTGTGTGTGTGTGTGCGCGCGCGCGTGTGTGTGTGCGCGTGTGTGTGCGTGTGCGTGAGCGTGTGTGTGTGTGCATTGTGCATGTGTGGGTGAGAGAGACAGAGAGATAAAAGAGGGGGAGAGTTCAAGTTTGCTTTGGAGGTGGAGGGGGAAAAGGTAGGACATAAGGGAGCTGTCGGTTGAAACTATAAATGTTGTTTCAAACGGGACTCGGAGAAAAAGAATGAAAGGTCTTGCACACCCCTTCAAGACTTCTTTTTATCAGATTCCTTCAGGACTTTTGATCACTTTGATTGAAGTAGAGTGACATTCTGAAACCAACTTTGCAGGTGAGAAAAGAAATAGTGATGATGTCTGTTCGTTTAATGTTTTTTATTTCTAATGCTTGATTTTGCAAACTCCAGCTAAGTTTTTTTGAGTTTGTCTAATCTGTGTCTCTTGACACAAAAAAGAGGAACATGTTACAGTCAAGAGCTGATGAAATGAAACCAAAAGTTTTGGATTAAACTTTGAACTCCTACATCAAAATGAATGAGAGGTGTTAATAAGATGTTTGAGATCTCCAGTGGCGCCTCCAGAAAGGTTCCACGGGGGTGGCAAGGGGTCAGAGAAATTTTTGGGGTGGCACACAAAATTGATCTTCGTGGTATCTCTGGGAAAGATTAACCTGCAGTGATGCAATAAGCATTTCTTTTTTTATTTTCATAAAGAAATAAACGATATGCATCCAACACACATCAAATTTGAGAAACATAAAAATGTTTGAAAAAAATAAGAAAAAGCCAGGGGGGTGGTCAGCAATTGTCTAGGGGCCACCCCAGGTCACCCCTTGAGGACACCACTGGAGATCTTTGCTATGTTCATTTATGGCTGCTTGTCTTTAATCTCCTGCAAAACCAATTAAGCATGAAGTTGCACATTTTCCTTTTTTAAAAACAGCTGATAAGTTAATGAAGCTGTCATCCCTCTATTTAGATGAAAACACACACTAACGTGTCTGGGTGGAGTCTATGTGACTTACCAACAGGTTTAACAGTGATTACTGGCTCTCGGTGACGTAGTGCGTAAACACGTCAGGATGAAACAGCTGCAGGTCCATCAGTTTGGTTTCAATCTTTTTTTGTAGCGTCAGTTAGCAACATAATTTCATTTAATGAATAAGATGATTTATTGAGACAGGTGCTGAAACTGTTGGTGTTTTCTGCAAGTAGAAATGTGGAAGTGAGTTTTAGGTTCAGAGCATCCAGCCGCTGGGGTCGAGCAGCACAATCAGCTGCTGTTCATAACAATGACTCTTTCTTTTCAGCCATCTTTATCTGTATTTTCTCTCTCACTGACTATCAGGATTTTTCTGTCATTTTCTCTTCTGTTGTCCTAGTTCAGTGTCCCATAAAATTCCCACTGGTTTGGAATAATAGGCTTCAGGGACAAAAAAACAAGTGTGTGAGGCTCAAATTGGCTATTTAACCCTTCAAAAAGATGTATTAATATATTCAGGCTTGTCAAGTAATTCTGGGTAAAATCCAATTAACACAGAGCAGATTGAGCCAGTTTAAAAGAAAATTCTGGTTGTTGTTTCAGTTACTTTTTTCATTGGGTTAAAACAAGCCTGATGCCACAAATGTTCAGTAGGATTATAGGTTACAAGCATTTTCACAAAGGATAGATTTAGATTCATCTCAATTTTGGTCTATTTTTGCATAATATAAATAAATTCATCCAGCTATTAACCATATTTACTTTAAAAAGTTACACACTGTTCTTCAAATGGATTGGAAAACCTGTTGGTTAAGACTGCTCCGTCAGAAGGAAACGTTTTACATCTAACTTTTTTTTTTTTTTTTGACAAAAAGGCACAAAATAGCAGCTTGAAACAAACTGCTCAACAAAGGTTTGTGGCTCCGGCAAGGATTTTCTAAGTAAATTCTTCAATATCTTCTCAAAGATTTGAATCAAAAGCTATTTTCAGAGTCCTTTTATCTGAGACATGGCTTTGTATGAGTCACTGTTTAACAACAGAAAGTCCTGCTGACATCAACCAGCCATCAGGCTGTCAAAACAAGGAGTTGAAGGCCTTACCCCAGCCTGAAGCCATGTTATTGCACACATGACTTGTGCTGCTGTTTTTTATTTACTACAGTGGTGCTTAAGCGTGCGTCCTTGCCCATGTGCATGCATACCAGAACAGGTGCCAAATGTGATTTCAAGGTGCAATGAGAAATGTTAAAATGGAGAAAGAGAAAAGTAACTGCCTTCCGTGCAGGCGGATTTAAAGATTGACAGGTAAGATATGAGGGAGGAGGGACAAAACAGTGGCAGGCACACAGGTAGGAAGAGAAACCGGAGGGTTGAAGTGTCAGGTTACCTGGACTTAGTTTTGTTTTGTCAAAAGGGCTTGGTCCATCAGAAGCAGCTGCTTCGAAATCTGCGTTGAGTTTTATACCCAAAACTGTACATTGGTACTTTTAGAACACGGAGTCGGGATCTCTGAGAGTTGGGAGTCAGTTACACAGGTGAGAGAGAGAGAGAGAGAGAGAGAGAGAGAGAGAGAGAGAGAGAGAGAGAGAGAGAGAGAGAGAGAGAGAGAGAGAGCTGCAAGTTTCAGGGCGTCCCACCTTCACAGAGGGCTGTAATTACTTTGCTTAAGGACAACTGCATTATGCTGGTGAGTACACCTGGATATGAGTACACACATTCATCCTGACTAAGATTCAGATCAGAGTTTTGCATGCCAATTTTCCTATATCTTGGTTTTGAGCTTCCTGGAAAAAAGAAACATCAGACTTGTTGTACTGATGACAGATTTTGAAATAACTTTTGCTGATTTTACATGAAATAAACTGGTTTTTATCATTAGTAGTTTCAGATGTATAGATTTGTTTCTTTTCAGTAGTAAAGTGCAGATATTTATTCATTAACAAGTAATGATAACCGTCAGAGCACACCTCAGTAGCATCATTATGATCAAAAGAACGTTCGGTTTTCGGGGACAGAGCTCAAAGACTCGTGTATGTTGGTGGCTTCCAATAAAAGTCAACAGTTATTGTTACAGATGAGGAAATGTCATTTCACATCCTGATGTCACATCATTAAAAGCTAGAGAAGTGTATGTCATTGTTCTATTCTCTAGTTTTAGTTGTAAGTTAGTTGCTTAATTGTCACTGAAACCAAAATGGCGTGACATTCAATCGCCACCAGGGCAACAACATTTACAGCCTCACACTCAAGAATATCAACAATAAATTAGGTCTAATTATAAAAACATGTCTGATTAATGGCTTGATTTATTTAATGAAGGTTGAACTGATACGAATGATTAAAGATGATGATATAAGGGGTTCAAGGTGAAACAAATGTCTTGATTGCTTGTAGATTTTGCACTGCTTAGATATTTTCACCCATCTTTAGGAATAATCATTGGCATGATCATTTCCTGTATTCTATCATGTTATCTCAGTGCCTTTTTCAACGGTTTCTCACCTTTGTATAGACCCTTTTACTGTTTGTAAACAATATGACGTCAGCGAGAATGCGCGCGCAGCTTGGCAACAGAGAATGGCGTTGTTTCAGGCTTTATCAAGCTATGCTGCAGGGTTATCACCGGCAAATCTTGAATGTTATATTAGTAAACTCACTTTAACGAATGGCAACAGACTCCTGGATCCCTGTGGCATTACGGAATGGGTGGAAGATGTAGGTGCGTGGCCAGATATCCAGTGGCCCGATATATATACGTTTTTAGTGGAGAGGCCCAGTAAGTACACACGTGAGAAGCTACGGGCATACAAATCGTTAGATGCATACAACTATGTTGTCTGTGGCCACGTACAGAAAGTAAAATATCACGACATAAACTCTGAGTTTTGCGTCTTGAAGGCAGAAGTCTTTCCTAGCCAAAGACAAGGACACAAGACTGCTATGTACGAGGCTTGGGTCATAGTAAACAAACCAGAGAACTACGTCTTCACAGCCAACTGTACCTGCATGGCAGGGTGAGTATAGCATAGGTTTCTTTTTTTAGCGTGCTCAGAGTACAATCGTGTTAATTTTAGAGAAATATAGTTTATACTAATATGCAGTGGGGAAATACAGATGAATTAGAATGAAATTTTAATTTGAAGCATGAAATAAAGCGTATAAATTTATATGTAATCTTAGTACATAATTACCTTACCTGATATAAAATGGGCGCTACAAACTCGAGCATTTCGGATCGTGTTTTCAGTCCAGTTTTCATCAACCCTTTTGATGGCCTGCAGCCACAGACGCCTCCGATTTTGTTGAAATGGATGTGCTCCCTTCGGAATTCTGTAAAGTTTCAGTCCACTGCTTGAAGAGAAGCGATTCTGGCATCCATACACGCAACAACCCGACATTTTTATGTGCTCAGAACTTCAAAACAAAGGGTTTAAAACGCTGTTTTAGTATCGAGTGTGAATGAGGAAGCCTTCACTCTCGTTGCCAGGCTGCGCGCGCAACTTTTGATGACGTAGGTAGTAAAAGGGTCTATTCCAAAAGGAAGTTGTCCCCCCTCATTTTACTGGTGATTTGTGTTTTATTTGTTCCCAGTATCACCTGATATCCCAGTGAATTTGCTGCCAGGTGTCACAATCAGAGGTGTGGCACTGCATAAGCTCTTGAATAAAACCTCCTTGATGACTACAGGAAAAGCTCATGTTTATGTGCCTAAAAGTTTAACAATTACAAACTCTTTTCTTAAAGATATGCCACAACAAGATTAAAAAGCAGTCACACAAAGAAGAGAGGCAATACATGTTTGCCAGACCAAACGTTCACTATCACAGTTATGGTGTGTTATGAGGTTGACCCAGGTTTACTTCTATCTCTGGAGCTAAATTGGTTCTAAGCCAGTCAAAGGGTCATTAAGAGTGAAACAAACACATATTTGAGTCGGGTTTAATTAAACTTAGTGTGTCATGTTGTGACAAACCAAAACTTGTTTGCAGGAATGTTTTTGACAGTTCCAGGAAACGTGGTGTTCTCCAGCAATCGTTCTAGTTCCCCAGGTTATCGTAGGCTTTATTCTAAAAACTCCAACTTAACAGTTAACGGTGATGATATCAGTTATATTAGGATGGCTTGTGTTTCCTTGAAGATTGGTTATCAACTCTAATCTGTTAATAGTTAATGATTAATCAATGTCACGTGTCTGTTTTTAATTATAGGCTCCTATTAAATGAAAGTAAAAGACCATATAATTACTACATGTATTTCAAAACTAAAAACAAATTTAAACATGAAGTGCTGCTTTGTGTTTTCAGTCTGTGAGGTGGCCACAATTTGTGTTTTGATTTTCTAACTCAAATTAGTTAAATAAAAAAAACTTTTAAGCAATTTTCATAGTTTCTTTTGAACCGCGCTGGTTTCTAGCTTCAACAGTAAACAGAAGTAAAACTCAGATCGTTTTTTTACAGTTCCTGTTTCGTTCAAAGAAAGTCACAAAAATGTCCCGTTGGGTCATTGTTGTTTGATACATTTATAAATCTTTCTAAGAAAAAACAGTTTTTGAAAAACTATTTTAAAAATCTGTTTAAACGCTGTAGACAGGACAGAGGACATTTTCTCCTAGTTCGTCTCTGACTCTATCCACTGTGGCGATACTTTAGTCATACAGAGTCCGATTAAATAAAATTCCCCATTACCTCAAATAGGATAGCACAGATTAATAACAATAAAAAAACACCCTCAAAACTTCCTACACATCTCAGTACCGTGAGAGTGAAACTAAGATTGTAGATCTGTGGTTATTTTCTGCTCGTTTCATTAAAATGTGGTTTCTGAGACATTTTCTCACCAGACAAATATTATGGACTCCAACAGTTAATCCATAAAAAGCGAAGTTTTAAACTAAAATGTGTAATTTAGCAGTATTAAATAATTTCACAACATCACAAATATTACTTGAGAATAAAGAATCTGTGATTTTAGAACAGGTTGTTGGCTGAGGTCACGCATTAATGTCCTTAATGATACGAGCACACCTCCTTAAATGTTTTTGCTATTGAAGAGTTAGACATGTTTGTTCACCAGAGTATTACTGAGTTTTTGTGCTTTAGGAAGGCTAATGAGAGAGAGAGGGATGGAGAACAAACAGTAACAGCAAACAAACAACGATCCAGTATCACGGACGTCAAAGAAGTTTACCAGCACAACAAGGGAAAAAATTTGTTTTTTTTTACAGCACCTCTCAAGATAGAAATCACAAGGTGCTTCACAAAAAAGGGATTTAAAAAATATATAATAAGGATTTTTCAAATATCATAAAAAGATGATAATTTGAAAATAATTTTTAACAGAAAACAAGAAGGAGGACAAAAAATGAATAAGAAAACGATAACACAAGATCCAGAGAAAGCAGACCAGATACCAAACGAATCCCAGGTTTTGGTACCCACACCCTATAAACGGGTTTTTGAGAAAATAACAATGACTCAATGTTTTTTTTTCTATTTATCAAAACACTGCAGCTGTATGTTCCTTCTTTCACATCTATGAATATGTCTCTGACGTGTCTCTATGTCAGTTTAGAAGCACAGAAATATCTTGTGATTGGAGAAGAACAATGCCGTGGAAATGTCCTGTTCGAAGAAGCCTTTACAGCACAGCTAAATCTGTTTAAAACTTTAGATTTGATTTCAGAAATTAACAGAATCACATCACAGGCCAGTTTTTATTCTTTACAAACAAAATCAACTCTGCAGTTTGTTCACACTTTCTTTCTTGTTCCAGATCAAATAGCCTATGATTTGTTAAATTAGTTCAAAGTTTTATCTTACTGGCATGAAACACAATATACATATCCCAATTTTTTTGTTTTTTCATAAAAATAGGCTTGGAGAACTAACAAGTGTATTGGACAGCCGACGTTTATTGAAAAACTGCGACCTTTGTTCAACATTTTTTCATCCAAACTTAATCTCAAGTGTTCCGGGAACGGTCTGAGAAGCTGTTATTGAAGACTTCGGCACAGTTTTTGTTGCATTACCGCAACTTCTTTGAGTGACTCACACAGAAATTTTTTCTTAGGCTCACACACATTTAAAGGATTTATGTTGTCGTGTAACCATGACTCGGCTCTTTTTGTCTCATAGGTAAAGCTGTAATTTGTAGTTCCTGTGGTTAAAAGGCTTTTATTCCATCTCACAACTTCACACAGTTTTTTTACACAATATCAGCATGTTTGATGCAACACTCTTTAGGTCCCAACAGACATTCACAATGATGAATACAAGCTGCTTAGAAAATTGACCGTGTGACAGAAACTGCCATATAAAGAGGCTGATGTACACAAAGTGTCACATGGGTGTAACCTGATAACTCAGATTTGCACATAAAGTCTTTGTGTGCAAATGTGGTGATGCTCACCGACTCTTCCTCTTGGAAATGAGCTCATTTTCTGCCTTTAGAAGTTTAGAGACGATGTGTATGTTTCTCGTACGTATCTGAGCAATATCCTAGAATCAGGCATACAGATAATTCAGATTATTGGGACACGCAGCCTGTACATTAGCTTCTCATTGCACAATGTTTTGGCAACACTTTGCTCAACTCTTGTCTCCTGTTATTCCGTCTTCAGACGTCTACCGTAGTGGCTGAAGAAAGCACCAGACCATTGAATCCAAGCCCAGCAGGTAAGTTAGCTAATAGACGCAAATCAGACTCTTTGTTTTCTATCATTTCCTGTCTTCTATCTTGTTATCTCAATGCCTTCTTGTCTACTTTTTTTAACTCTGTAAATCCTCGCTACAGTTCCACAGCCAGGTCGCCACAGAAGGCCCATGACTGTCGTAAAACCTCAAACAAGCAACGCGTGGAAAAGGAGGAAAATACTTGTAACTGTTCTGACAGTTTTGGTGATACTAGGAATAATGGTCACTGTAGGATACTTTGGTGAGTTACAACTCTTTCTCAAACAAATCCTTGTTTATGTTTCTGTCAGCAGAAAAATAACTTTTCTGTAAATCCGTAAAAAACATAGACTAATATGTTTTCTTTTACTAAAATCAGACAAACATTTTTAAAACATTCTAACCTGTATGTTACCCTTCTTTTCCAATGTGTCCCATTTTCGTCCCTTATAGTGAAACAGTTAATCGATAGCAAGTACTTCTTCTGCCCAAGCTCTGTGAAGTTTATCCCACTAGAGCAAGCTTGTGATGGGAAAAACGACTGTGCTAATGGGGAAGATGAGCTCAGCTGTTTGTCACGCTTTATAGTAAACACTACATTTCCAGGTAAAAATAACACTCGATGCTGTCTCAGCATGTCTTCAGACAAAACCAGCGGTTGAAAAGGTGACTCATGTTTCGTTATTGTTTTTTTCTCCTCTCTCTTCCCACCTTCTTCCAGTGCGTCTTATGTCTGATCAGAACGTTCTCCAAGTGTACAGTCCTGCCTCGGGTTGGGGGACGGTCTGCAGTGATGGCTGGACCGCGCAACACACACAGACCGCTTGTACACAACTGGGATACACTATGTAAGATTAAAACCACCACAACGAGGCAAGTTAAACTTGTTGATCTCAAATTGTAACAAAACCTTAATTTTGTTCTCACAGCAATCCAACTAGCACCAACATCCAAGTGAGCAATTTGGCTTCACTGAAGTTTGGATCGTTCACAGCAGTCAAACCCGGGATCACAAACACACCCATACAAGAGGCCACCACTGCCATGTAAGAAACGCATCACCATTAACAAGCATGTAGGGGGAGGGCTCTAGGCTGCATGGTGGCGCAGTTGTTAGCACTACTGCCTCGCAGCACAAAGGTTGCAGGTTCGAAACTCAGCTGCGGCCTTTCTGCGTGGAGTTGCGTGTTCTCCCCATGCATGTGTGGGTTTCCTCCGGATACTCCGGGTTCCCCCACAGATCACAACATGCCCTATAGGTTATAAATTGTAAGTCGCTTTGGATAAAAGTGTCTGCCAAATAAATAAACATAGAGTAATATTAGAGGAGTGGCCAGACTGGTGTGTTTATTTTGAGGAAAGCATTACAAACATCAACTTTAATAGGATTCTACGCAGTTTTAGCTTGTTTTAGCACCCCCTAGTGTCCGTTGGTAAAATCAAAAGTGAAACATATGTCCTCACAGTGCGTTTGTCTTTCTAACACTTTGAGTTAACTGCTCAGCCTTCATTAGTTTCTACAGGAGTGGTTCATCACTAACTCAGGCAAATCAGCTGTGTTTGTGATCTAAAGCAAGCAGGAGATAAGTGACATTTCATTAACCGTGTAAAGGGTCATTTTAGCGCATACTGGCTCAGAAAAATGAAAAACATGCAAAATATGGCTTTAAGTTGTTTCAATTTTAGTGTGTAATTACGACAATACTGCAATTTAGTTACAGTTGTTTTGGATACAAATATTTTAAAGTACAATTATTTTGCAAAAACCTACTTTGATGTCTAGTTATTTGCCTCAGTGGCAACATGAGCACCTCTTTCAACATCAACATGTTATGGAACCACATCATGCATCAATCTAAGTTTTCCAAACGTATCCATGCTTAGGCTCTGGCCCAGGGGTGTGTTGTGTGTGTGTGGGGGGGGGGGGGGGGGCACTCCCCGGGGGGGGGGCACTCCCCATCTTGGAACCACCCCTGCATGCGACAGGTTTTGTTAAAAAGTACAACTTTTAAAGTCAGGTTTATTAATTAGTATCACTTCACAGAGGCTTAAAAAAGCTGCGTAATCTTGAAAGAGAAAACCTAATGAAGTAAATTAATAATCTGCTTTCTGCCACAATCTCTGCTAGAAAAAATTCCACATAGGTATCATTTTCTCTTTCAGGCCCAAAAATTTCTCAGAGTTTCGGTTCCTGAAAAACAAAATGACCCTCGGTTTTTCTTCCTTGTGCCTTGTCCGCTGTGAAAGTTAACAAAACAGGTCGAACAGAAATGGAGACACAGTTCATCAGGGGACATGGTTAGCTGGGGTGGGGGGGTCAGCTTTATCAATCATGTAGTCACTTGGATTGAAAAATGTTCAACATCCTGCTTTTGTGTCTTTGTTTCTTCCCTATAACAGCAAAGCGTGCGACTCGGGATCTATCATCTCGTTGACTTGCTCAGGTATGTTTTGCTTTTAGAAAGTCACAACAGTGACTGACATTGTTCACAAGAGAGGCGTTTAGGGGAGATCAACACACGACATTGTTGCATGGGAAGTTTCACACTCACAGGCCCGCACGTGCCCAGAGCAACCAGAAAGCGTTGTTATAAATATCATGATGGTATCTTAAGGTTAATTTGTTGCAGATCAATGGAAGGAAATGTAGAACAAAAGGACAACGATGACTCAATTTTATTTTTAACGTAAGGTATTAAAAATACATTTCTTTGTTTATTAGATTGTGGATTGGAGACTGTCTCTAGCGACCGTATTGTTGGGGGTGTAAATGCTAAAATCGAGGAATGGCCCTGGCAAGTCAGCCTGCAGCACAATGGCCAGCATACATGTGGAGGCTCACTGGTGTCACCACAATGGGTCGTCACTGCTGCCCACTGCTTTTCCAGGTCCGTAAAGCCGTCCCGCGCATCACTCCTTTATATTTTGGTTTGTGACAATCTGATGTTTGAACTCGTGCTCACTCTTCTCCATTTTTTCCTTTCTTTTGCCCTTGAAGCACTAAAAAAGAGCTGAGTCGGTGGAGAGTGATGTCGGGACAGACATACTTGACCACACTAGGAGGCTCCTATGTTGACAGGATCATAGTAAACGGACAATATGCCACAAAGGAAAATGACTATGATATTGCATTGATGAAGCTTAGCAGCCCAATCAAAGTGGGAGGTAAGATACTGCAGGTCTTTTGCTCTAATTTAGACTCATAAAGGAAAATACTTACTCTGGCCAGAGTGAGAACAATCATTCAGGGATCTTTTCTACACTCTAGTGGTCACTTGTCACATTTCAGCTCAAATCAGCTTGTTTCACCACGTGTGTGTAGTGATAGAACTTTATGAGTCTTTTTAAAGTAAACTTTCTCGCTCAATGAAGTATTTACAGCTTGTGTCATGTTTTGTCATTTTCCAGTCAAAAGTAAGCCGGTGTGTCTACCTCCAAAATCCCTTAACGTTCCCGATAATTTCCCACTGGCGGTGACAGGGTGGGGACTTCTGAAAGAAAACGGTGAGAAGCCAGAATAATCTCCTAATTAATGGTTTAGATTTATTTAATTAGGCCCGAGCAGCGAAAGCGCTGCGAAGGCCTCTTGTTTTTGCTCTGTTTATTATTATTAGGCCCGAGCAGCGAAAGCGCTGCGAAGGCCTCTTGTTTTTGCTCTGATTATTATTAGGCCCGAGCAGCGAAGCGCTGCGAAGGCCTATTGTATCTGCTCCGTTTATTTTTCTTTTTTCTTTTTTTTTCTTCCGCGTCTTTGGGTGGCCTTTAGGGGGTCTTAGCATATCCAAAAAGTCACCAAATTCTGGCCCAATATAGAAAGTGCGTGAAATTTACGTATTTCACTGTCAACATGAAAGTTGGTATAAAAATGTTTCAACAGCGCCCCCTGGAAAATTAAAAATACCCCTCCGCATTGACCTTTTTTCATAGTAGAGTGATGAAATTTGGTACACCTGTAGAACTCAACAATACGCACAGAAAAGCCTCTTGCACCCATGGTCAATATCAAACAGGAAGTCGGCCATTTTGGACTAAAGTGGCCATTTTTACCCCGTTTTGGCCATTTCTAGGCTCTATATTTGGTTGAACAGTTTGGTCATTTTTCGCACGATTGTCTCAAAAATAGTGTGCGATCGAACAGAAGCGATGGACGATTAAAATGAGAAAATAAAACTGACTTTTCGTAAATACTGAAGGGGCGGGACCAGGCCTCAAAGTTCGAGCACTCGCCAAAAAAATTCAAATATCTTTAATTTCATAAATAAAAGAATTACATTTAAAGTAATTTTCTATGGACAATCGTCATCGCCCCCCCGAAGACAAATGAATGGTTGATTGATGATGTCACATAAGCCCCGCCCCCTCAGGCCTTAAAAGGTCAAGTTTTACTGGGAAATTGTCCAAAATTCGCCCTTTCAACTAATCACCCCATATTTGTAGCAGGTAACTGTAGACAAGTTGGGATTGCTTGGCGTCACTTTATGGGAGTTTTCTCCAGAAGGCGGGGCTGTGGCGGCGCGGCGAAGTCAGGCGTACCGACGTGGCCTTACGTTTGCCTCCCATTTCGTCATTTCTAAAGATATCGCCACAAAACCTCTTGTGAGTGATCCTAGTCCAGCCCCCCAAAAAATTTGATGTGAACATCCGGTGGGCGTGGCCTATTTTATGAAATAGCGCCCCCTAGGACCATTAAAACTGTCAGCCCCAAGCCATGCTTTGACTGAGGATTTCGAAATTTGGTACACTAATGTGGTGTCTCAGGACCTACAAAAAAGTCTCTTGGAGCCAAGTGCAAAGTTGCACAGGAAGTCAGCCATTTTGGTCCAAGTACGTGATTTACTGGTTTTCGCACACGTTGTTTGGAGAGTGATGCTCCATCGCCCTTTTCACCAATCGCCTTCAAACATCTGCTATATACTCTTAAGACATAAAGTAAAAAATTCAACCGTCGGATTTTAAATAAGTATAAAGGTGTGGGCGTGGCTAAGCCTCAAACTTTGACCTGTCGCCACGCCACTCTTTTTTTCACAGCTCCCTATTGGACTCCTTTTACGCAATCACCAGCAATCTCTGGCAAATAAAAGCTGACAAGTTGAGGTCACTTGGTCTACAGTACTGGCAGGTTTTGAAAAAAGGCGGGGCTTTGGGAGCATGGCGAAATTCGCCATCACGCCATGGCAATACGTTTGCCTCTCATTTCTTCAATTATCGTGACATCGCCACAAAATGTCTGGTGAGTGATCCTAGTCTGACCCCCAATAGAATTGGGCAGCTGAGATTTGTGGGCGTGGCCTATATTCTGAAATATCGCCCCCTAGGACCTTTAAAACTGTCAGCCCCAAGACAAGGTTTGACTGAGGATTACGAAAATTGGTACACTCATGTAGGGTCTCTGGACCTACAAAAAAGTCTCTTGGAGCCAAGCGAAATTTCGCACAGGAGGTCGGCCATTTTGGTCCAAGTACTCGATTTAGTGGTTTTCGCACACGTTGTTTGGACATTGATGGCCCGTCGCCCTTTACACAGATCACCTTCAAACTTATGCTATGTACTTTTAAGTCAAAGGGGAAAAAATTCAACCGTCGGATTTTAAATAAGTATAAAGGTGTGGGCGTGGCTAAGCCTCAAACTTTGACCTTTCGCCATGACATTACTTGACTTAATAACTCCCATGTGCATGATCAGATCTAATTCAAACTTTGTCTGTGTGATCACTGACCACATCTCAAGACAACGACAATGTGGACAGCTGACATCACCTAAGCCCCGCCCCCTGACAACAGGAAGTCTATTGTTTTATGGTGAAATGGCCATATTTGTCCCCTCTAATTTAGTGAAAATGACACTCAGGTCATACATTGTCTTCATGATGTTTTAATGACCATTCAGATCTGATAGCTTTCCAGAAAGGGAGGGGCTTTGATGCCATGGTGAATGCTGGCGTGACGCCATGACCTTACATTTGACTGTAACTTCCACAAACGGCCTCCGATTTGCCCGAAACTGAATATGGCAATGAACAATCATGCCCTTTAGCCAATGAGGCACAAACGGTTGGTGAATGTTATATAATGTCACCAAAGCTGACCTCAATGGGACTTTTCTGTAGTTGGTCACAGCGCCACCTAGATAACGTTATCCTTCGATAACTTTAAAAAACATGGTCAGAATAGCATTAAAGTTGGTCACTGTCATCACACCACCAGTGTGGTAAAGATAGAGGATTCCCTAGTGGTGAGACATAAAATGTAATGGTGAGCTCAAAGGGGATGCTGAGTCAGGGTGAGGTGCGGACAAGGTGGCCGTTAGCCGTTTCTGGTGTTGGGGTGGTCGACGTTTGTGTTCTGCGGACGTGCCCTGGTGCCCAGGGCTGCCGGCCAGGCCGGAGCGGCGCGGAGCTGCGAGGGCCGAACGACGCTGCTTGCAGCTTTAATTAGGCCCGAGCAGTGAAGCTGCGAAGGCCTATTGTATCTGCTCCGTTTCTTCTTCTTATTAGGCCCGAGCAGCGAAGCGCTGCGAAGGCCTATTGTATCTGCTCCGTTTATTTTTTTTTTTCTTTTTTTTTCTTTTTTTTTCTTCCGCGTCTTTGGATGGCCTTTATGGGGTCTTAGCATATCCAAAAACTCACCAAATTCTGGCCCAATATAGAAAGCGCGTGAAATTTACGTATTTCGCTGGCAATGTGAAAGTTGGCAAAAAAGTGTTTCGACAGCGCCCCCTGGAAAATTAAAAATACCCCTCCGCTTTGACCTTTTTTCATAGTAGAATGATGAAATTTGGTACACTTGTAGAACTCAACAATACGCACAGAAAAGCCTCTTGCACCCATGATCAATATCAAACAGGAAGTCGGCCATTTTGGACTAAAGTTGCCATTTTGACCCTGTTTTGGCCATTTCTAGGGTCTATATTTGGTTGAACAGTTTGGTCATTTTTTGCACGATTGTCTCAAAAATAGTGTGCGATCGAACAGAAGCGATGGACGAATCAAAAGAGAAAATAAAATTGACTTTTTGTAAATACTGAAGGGGCGGGGCCAGACCTCAAAGTTCGAGCACTCGCCAAAAAAAATCAAATTGCTATAATTTCATAAATGAAAGAATTAGAGTTAAAGTAACTTTCTATGGATAATTGTCATCGCCCCCCGAAGACAAATGAATGGTCGATTGATGATGTCACATAAGCCCCGCCCCCTCAGGACTTAAAAGGTGAAGTTTTACTGGGAAATTGTCCAAAATTCGCCCTTTCAAATAATCAGCCCAAATTTGTAGCAGGTAACTGAAGACAAGTGGGGGTTGCTTGGCGTCACTTTATATGAGTTTTCTGCAGAAGGCGGGGCTGTGGCAGCGCGGCGAAGTCAGGCATACCGACGTGGCCTTACGTTTGCCTCCCATTTCGTCATTTCTAGAGATATCGCCACGAAATCTCTTGGGAGTGATCCTAGTTCGGCCCCCCAAAAAATGTGATGTGAACATCCGGTGGGCGTGGCCTATTTTCTGAAATAGCGCCCCCTAGGGCCATTAAAACTGTCAGCCCCAAGTCATGCTTTGACTGAGGATTACGGAATTTGGTACACTAATGTGGTGTCTCAGGACCTACAAAAAAGTCTCTTGGAGCCAAGCGCAAAGTCGCACAGGAAGTCGGCCATTTTGGTCCAAGTACTCGATTTAGTGGTTTTTGCACACGTTGTTTGGAGAAGGATTCTCCATCACCCTTTTCAACAATCATCTTCAAACATCTGCTATACACTCTTAAGACATAGATGAAAAAATTCAACCGTCGGATTTTAAATAAGTATAAAGGTGTGGGCGTGGCTAAGTCTCAAACTTTCACCTGTCGCCACGCCACTCTTTTTTTCACAGCTCCCTATTGGACTCCTTTTAACCAATCACCAGCAATCACTGGCAAATAGCAGCAGACAAGTTGAGGTCACTTGGTCTATAGTACTGGCAGGTTTCGAATAAAGGCGGGGCTTTGGGAGAATGGCGAAATTCGCCATCACGCCATGGAAATACGTTTGTCTCTCATTTCTTCAATCATTGTGACATCGCCACACAATTTCTGATGAGAGATCCTACTCTGACCCCTAATAGAATTGGACAGCTGAAGTTTGTGGGCGTGGCCTATTTTCTGAAATAGCGCCCCCTAGGACCATTAAAACTGTCAGCCCCAAGCCGTGCTTTGACTGAGGATCACGAAATTTGGCACACTAATGTAGTGTCTCAGGACCTACAAAAAAGTCTCTTGGAGCCAAGCGCAATGTCGCACAGGAGGTCGGCCATTTTGGTCCAAGTACTCGATTTAGTGGTTTTCGCACACGTTATTAGGAGAATGATGTCTCGTCGCCCTTTCCACCGATCACCTTCAAACTCTTGCTATATACTCTTAAGACATAGAGGAAAAGATTCAACCGTCGGATTTTAAATAAGTATAAAGGTGTGGGCGTGGCTAAGCCTCAAACTTTGACCAGTCGCCATTACGTTACTTGACTCAATAACTCCCTTGTG